TCTTCTTTTTTTCATTTTAATTTTTTATATTTTATATTTCAATAATGTATGTATGTATGTATGTATGTATGTATGTATGTATGTATGTATGTATGTATGAATTTATAGGTCAAGCTAAGCGCACAAGTTAAGCCAATCAGATTTGGATATTATCACATCTTTTTACAGTCAATGAAAGCTGTTGTTTGTTAGATTTTGTATGTTATTAGGTCTATGGCTTAATTAATTAATTATGTGGTCCGTTCTAATATAAACCTAGCTCAAAATATAATGTGACATAGACCTAATAATTACAATGAAAGGGCAATCAATACAATAAAATAAAATAAAACAGCAATCAAGAACAGGGGGGGCTCAATAATTTAGGAATCTTAGGCTCAGATCTCAAAACATAAATGATATATATTTTGAAACTTAGCCATCTTAATTTAATACATCGTCAAAGCATAGCTGACGTACCGATTTTTATAATTTACAGTTTTTATATTCAATAAATGTTATGTAATTCATTGATTATGTAATAACAAATTATTTATTACATGAGACCGCGAGCGTGAGAGAGTGACATTTTGGATCTACGTACCTTAGCAATTGATTAATTAGTTTCATAAACCTTGTGAGGCCCATCTATTATAAGCCCATCAAATCTGCACGTCCTGCCGTTTCTTCCTTGATCAGAGCACATGCGCGTCGTTTATTAGGGTCAGGGACGATCAGACTTTTTAATTTTGGGAAATTTTCAAATCAGCCCCCGAAATTGCTGTCATATTCGCTAGAAATCTGATTTTTTTTTAAAAAAAAATGGGATCGTCCTTTTTTCTTAGCTAATTTTTTTATAAAAAAAATACAAATTATCAAAATCTTGTCACCTAAAGTCCGAAAAATTAGTGCAATTAGCATAAAATTTTTGGGATCAAATCGCTAATGAATGACATAAATAATGAATAATATAAACTCAATTAGTATAAAATTTTTTGTAATTGGTAACACAACGAATGGTCCATATCTTTCCACTAATATTTTCTATTTTAGATTCTAAGCAATTCTATTACTATATGTTTGGTGATAGAGGTCAGAGCAAGACACACAGCTTGTGTTTTTTTGTCCATTTTCCATTCAGCTGTTTTTTTTTTGGTTGGCCTTGTTTGGTTTACGACCGCGGCTCCACCGGAGGAGAAGTATACCTCACCGCACTGAACCATCACAAATTCTTTCCTAACAATAAATCATAAGAGTGGACAAGATAGATAGATAGGATGGACAATTCTCTTAATAATTGAATAATTAAACCGATATGAACTAAATAACATATAAATATAAATGTATCCAAATCGAAATGGATATAAAAATCAAATGGTTATAGTTTTTTTAAAAATTAAAAACTCCGAACTAAACCAAATAGAAGAATATCCCAAAAGAATCGAAAATTTCTATGAAAAATAAATATGTTTATCAATAAAAAATGCATTCGAACCAAAATCAAAACCGAAGAAGAGTTCTCCAAATTCAGAAATGGGATATTTGGGCATGTTCATAATGATGACGTCGTATATTGAGGGGGGGTTTTAACCCTAATAACCCACTTTGGTCGCAGCAATTTCAGGGTACACCACCGAAAAAAAAATAAAATTTGCGACCTTATTACGACTAATATATAACTAATATACAACTAAAATAAGAGTAGTTTATTAGTCGTAATAAGTTGTATATTAGTTATATATTAGTCGTAATAAGGTCGCAAATTTATTTTTTTTTTTCGGTGGTGTACACTGAAATTGCTGCGACCCAAGTGGGTTATTTGAGTAATATTCCCTATTGAGGGAGAGCCCTCCACGGAAGGGGGCACACGTGAAAACAAAACAAAGGATTGAATGCGACGTCGTACTAACCCCACCACTTGACTCTTCTTCTTCCTTCACCTCCCCCCCTCCCCTCTCTTTCCATGTCGCTGCCAGTATACACATACACACATATATATATATATATATATATATATATGCGTGTGTGTATGTGAAATTCCATCTTGCATTTTTCTTTTGAATTTAACTAGATGCCATTGTGTAACAGTGTATATAATGTGGATTATCGAAATTTGCACTCCAAATATTTTAACAGATTGAAGTTATTTTAACGGATCATAAGTATGATCAAAATTGTTCTGCAATGTTTTTTTTTTCTCTCATTCATGCATGTGCCATGTATTGATAAATACATGATTTTATCAGATTATCGATTTCAAATCATAAGATAATTATACGTTTGTTGTTATTAATAATTGTCAATAAATGAAGATTTAATATAGGTGATAACATGCACAACTAATAGAGATACTCGATAATTTATCTATAATTTTTAGATAATTGAAAAATATATTTAAATTTCTATTTTAATACGTGCTATTGTTTGGCTGAAAGAGTATAATATGCCAGGAATTGTTCCACGTATAATAGTTTGACCCTTCTGAAAAAAAAAATATGGAATCTTTTTAGATAATTTTTTGAATTCGACAAATCATCGGTTTAATCTAAAACGATTCTTCTTATATCTATAAAGTCGAATCTTAATTTTAAGGGTTCCAATTTATTCATTATACTTAAAAAATTAAAAAAAAACTTCGAAAATCTAACCTAAAAAGAAACTCTAGGTTTTGGTATTAACGTGCGAATTGAAAATGAATTAGGTATAAGTTTTCTAACATACGTTTATATAGAATTTTCTAAAAAACATATAACAAAATGACACCAAATTTAGCCGGTCTAAACCAGCTTCAACTTTTCTCTCACATGGCTATTGGACAATTTTTTTTTTTTGCTGTTTAATATTTTTGTAGGTATGTGCAAAAAAAAACTAAAACATAATCGAATATATTTTATTTGTCAATGGACACACCCGTATAAGAAAGGTCGAGAGAAGAACACGAGAGGCCATATGGGTATATGGAATATATATGCGTAGGGGTCTATAATTATATGGGGGATACGTATGCACTCCACACTTTGGTTGGCTTTTGATTAGGGGGCAGGGTCATGCATAATCAAAGCCATTGCCCATTAATTAAGGATTAGAAAACAAGTTATTGGAATTTAAGAGATAAGATTGAGTGGTAGGGCACAATCACGAAACCCTAATTAAAGGGATTCCCTTGATATACACACATATATATATATATATATATATATATATGCGTGTGTGTATGTGAAATTCCATCTTGCATTTTTCTTTTGAATTTAACTAGATGCCATTGTGTAACAGTGTATATAATGTGGATTATCGAAATTTGCACTCCAAATATTTTAACAGATTGAAGTTATTTTAACGGATCATAAGTATGATCAAAATTGTTCTGCAATGTTTTTTTTTTCTCTCATTCATGCATGTGCCATGTATTGATAAATACATGATTTTATCAGATTATCGATTTCAAATCATAAGATAATTATACGTTTGTTGTTATTAATAATTGTCAATAAATGAAGATTTAATATAGGTGATAACATGCACAACTAATAGAGATACTCGATAATTTATCTATAATTTTTAGATAATTGAAAAATATATTTAAATTTCTATTTTAATACGTGCTATTGTTTGGCTGAAAGAGTATAATATGCCAGGAATTGTTCCACGTATAATAGTTTGACCCTTCTGAAAAAAAAAATATGGAATCTTTTTAGATAATTTTTTGAATTCGACAAATCATCGGTTTAATCTAAAACGATTCTTCTTATATCTATAAAGTCGAATCTTAATTTTAAGGGTTCCAATTTATTCATTATACTTAAAAAATTAAAAAAAAACTTCGAAAATCTAACCTAAAAAGAAACTCTAGGTTTTGGTATTAACGTGCGAATTGAAAATGAATTAGGTATAAGTTTTCTAACATACGTTTATATAGAATTTTCTAAAAAACATATAACAAAATGACACCAAATTTAGCCGGTCTAAACCAGCTTCAACTTTTCTCTCACATGGCTATTGGACAATTTTTTTTTTTTGCTGTTTAATATTTTTGTAGGTATGTGCAAAAAAAAACTAAAACATAATCGAATATATTTTATTTGTCAATGGACACACCCGTATAAGAAAGGTCGAGAGAAGAACACGAGAGGCCATATGGGTATATGGAATATATATGCGTAGGGGTCTATAATTATATGGGGGATACGTATGCACTCCACACTTTGGTTGGCTTTTGATTAGGGGGCAGGGTCATGCATAATCAAAGCCATTGCCCATTAATTAAGGATTAGAAAACAAGTTATTGGAATTTAAGAGATAAGATTGAGTGGTAGGGCACAATCACGAAACCCTAATTAAAGGGATTCCCTTGATATCATGTATATATGCGATAATTAATATATCAATTTTATCGTGTGATTTTTGGTATAATCACTTTCTTGTATCACTGTAATTAGGTAACTTGCAAGTATTCGGTTGCCTTATCAGATGCACAATCAGAGCTGTTTGCAATGGTACTTACAACCTAAACCCTAAGAACAAGCCCTCGAATGTTTCCAATGCCAGCTTGACTGTTTGTAAAATGAAGAATGAGAAAACATGTAATAGATAATATAGTGATTGCATGAGTTTTATTGATAGAATGAAAATAATATATATATATATATATATATATATGTATGTATGTATAAAAGGCACTAGCATTATGTTCATGTGTGTGAATAAATCGTAGATACAAAATGAAATGAAATGAGAAAATAGACTATTTGAAAATTTGAATTGACATAATTGAAAAATCGATATAGATTTAAGGTGATAATAACGTGCCCGAAATCATAAAGTAATAACTAATAACCCTATAAGCAAGAAATGTCGGTATAGATTTAAGGGTTTTGAAGATTATAATTATCATTGACAATATCCCTTAATCACACAATTAAAGTAATAAACATGCCTTTGTTAAGGGGTCAACACATGTATAGTGTTCACCCAGCCAAATTTTTTTTTAAAATATAAACAAAATAAAAACATTTCACCAACAAAAAAAAAACCATTAATATTCAGAAATCACAATCTTCCAATTTCTTCTCTCTCCTTACGGAGCAGAGGGTGATAGAAACGCCGTAACGGACTCTTCTCACCGAAACGCCGTTACATCACGTCCGTTAGGAAGAGAACAAAAAAGGAAAAAAAAATTATTGTGCTTGCGCATTAATGGCTTCGGAAGAG